TCTGTCCGATTTCGTTAGATAAAGTTGGGATAATCAAACTACAAACAATTATAATTTAACTGGTTTTTAGCATGAAACCCGTGAAAAATAATCTAAAATGATGAACAATTCTAACTGTTGAATAACACATAAAATTGTAATAATTTTAGTCATATAAGTCTTTCTTATTACTAAAAAACGTAAAACGAGCTATAAATTCAAACACAAAATTGACATGTATACTAAAAAAAACATAAAAGCAAACACACCTAAATTTGACATGTATACTTTTGCATATGATTACACGTGATTTAAATTTGAAATATACAAGATAGTTCAAAAGTATGTTGGAAAATTTCATCATGATCCCAAAAATAAAAATGTAAAGTAGATGGTAGTCTTCATGTAAAGGAATTCACCACCATAAGTGGTTGGAACTACCGACTCACAAAGTGGGTAACAATAAGTAAACTTACCATCTAACTCCATGGGTTATGGAATATAAAGTCCTACGCTACTACTTCTACCATGCATGCAGTTTCATTTATACTGCGACAAACCCACATAATGAAGAATTGCTACTCCATATCGACATTATGTACATGCATATATATAACTCTAACTTTCTCCAATTAAGTCATGCATGGCACTACTGGACCTGGTTAGCATTTCACGAAGTTTGGGAAGGCAAGTATTAACTAACATGGTTGCAGCAATATCTCCCATCTAACTTGTGTGAAAGAGTTGTTGGCACGAGAAGTTTTTCAATGCGACTTTTGTGCATTGCGACATGGTCATGTTACGTACAAACCATATTGTTATAAGTGTTCTAAAACTCGTTTGAGATTTTGCTTTTTAATAAGCACTTCTAGCTAGTTACAAGTGTTTTTATTAGAAACACACTGGAGTTTTATTTATAATTTAAGTGCTTACAAAAAAAAAAAAAAAAAAACACTTGGGTGTACTAGAATATGCTTTTTTAGAAAGTGCTTTAAAGATTTAGAAAGACTTTTCATAAGCATTTTTAATTTTTTTTGTCCAACATAATCAGAATCGTTTTTTGTAGTCATAAAATGCTTATAGTCATTCCAAAAACAATTAGAAACAGACATTTGAAGCTAATCCCTTGATCTTCTATTTGCTCTACCTAAATTTGAATCAATTAAACTTGTCAACTACTCAAATTATAACGTGTAAATTAAAAGCTAAAGTAAAGTTGAAATAGTCCCACCATAAATTATACATATTGGTTCTTAGTTTCTAATATCCATAACCATAAAGGGTAATTAGTATTTGTAAAGGAAAATAAATAGGGAGAATGGGTCACCTCTCTCCATTAGCCTAACCGAATAAAATTTCAACCTAGTCATTGACTAAATGAGCAAATGGGTAGATCTTATTGACCATCCCGGAGCTAAAAAGATACAAGGTGATGCTGTTATAGCTTAGGATTCCTTCCCAAAACTCATGAAAAATAGAGAGGTTAGGATTTGGTAACCTTCCATTCCAAATCCAATGAGTTGATGATGATAAATTACAGGGGACCCTATAAAATTTACAATTCATGTTGCATACAATGTGAATGAGTCATGTGTCGAGTTTGGTTTGACATTCAGTCTTTACCTTCTAGATAGATATGCGCAGCTTAATCTCATTAATTAGACGAGTAAGACTTTCACGAAATGAGTTCTACTTCTACACCTCCTAATTTACACTTCTTATATACATAAAACACGAGTAAGTCATGTGTCAATGATAATTTGGTTTAATGAATGGCACATATGTTTTGAAGAAAATTGAGGTTCTACCATAAAATCAATTGGCAAAATGGAGAGTAGTTCAATTACCTGTAACCAAATGCAAGGTCTCTTTTCTCGATGTGGGATTAATACTCTCCACACACCCCCTCACATGTGATAATTTTCAAGCCTAACACATGGATAAGACAAATTTGGTGTGTAAAGCATGTGTGACCATTGGACTTTACACATGAGTCAATTTGCTCTGATACTATTGAGAAAGTTGAGGTTTCACTATAAAACCAACTGACAATATAAAGAGTAACCCAATTACTTATAAACACATGCAAAGTACACTCTTTTCCCTATGTAAAATTAATACTTTTAACAGTTTTCGCTTTGTTAAAACAGATGCTCAGTTTAATCTCAAAGATGAGTCTTTCTTACGAGATCTCAAAGATGAGTCTTAATCTCTCATAGAAGTATCGAAACCACCCACATATTATAGCATACTTCTAGGTCTAATGGTAGAACACTTACTTATTCTACACCTTCGAAAAGAGAATTATTCTGTATATAAGGTAGTTTTTGGGGTTTTTGAACTTTAATCCTTCAAAAAGATTAAAATTTAAAAAAAAACCTGGTGTTAGATTAAATATTGATTTTAGTCCCTAATATGTCCTTAATTCAAAATAATTAATGTGCATTTTATTTAATGTCTCCCATTAAATATTTCAATTTATTAATACACAAATTTTAATTTATTTTTTGACCAAAAAAGAGTTTTTTAATCTATTAATTTTATTTAACATTCTTCAAATTTGAAAGACTCAATTAATGGACCTAAATGTTAGTACCGAAATGTATGTACCTAAATATATGCACCGAAATGTATTAATATTAAATTAATGTACCTAAATGTGTGTACCGAAATGTATGCACCGAAATGTTAGTAGTGAAAATGTATTATATTGAATTAATGTACCTAAATATTTGTATCGAAATGTATGTACCGAAATGTGTGTACCTAAATGTATGCACCGAAATGTATTATAATGAATTTAATAAACCTAAATGAAGAAGATAAAGTACATCGAAATATATTGTATAACAAAAATTAGTTTATTTAAATGTTCACAACAAAATATATTACGATGAATGAAATGAAAATAAAAATTATAATGAAATAAAATTAATACATTAAAAATTAGAAAGAAAAAGATAAATAATTAAAAAATCAAAATATAATTAATAAATGAGGCTATTAATGTATCAAGGGACTAAAATTAGATTTTGATCTTACTCATGGTTTTAATCAAAAAGTCATCTTTGCCGAGGATTAAATGAAGTTTTCTAGTAGTTTGTTTGTTCAAGAAACTGTCTATAGTAGTTTGACGAAGCCGTTATTTATAGTTCGGCTCGCCTAATCTTTCACTAGTCTCTGTTTCATTTTCATTCCAATTTTTTTTCTTTATCTAGTTAATTTGTTTGTTTCATCAATAACTAGCAGAGAGCATATACTTTGTATGTATGTGAACAATTTCTCTTAATAAGTGCATATTTTTTTAATATTACGTAATTACTGTTTTATCATCCTTATATAAATATTGTGTATCAAAAGTGAGGGTAAAATTAGAAAAATAAGTATAAAAATAGGAAAAATAGGGATATAGTTGTCATTTTTGTCAAAAGGTACAAAAATTACTATTTTACAATTTTACCCTCATTTTTGTCAATAATGTGTATCAAAAGTGGGGCAAAATAGAAAAAAGGGCAAAAATTTGACAATGAGAATTCTCTTAATAATAGTATAGATGATGATAATAATAATAATAATAATAATAATAATATCGATTGTCAAAAAATAAAACAAAATAAAATCTCTTGCAAAATTTGAAGGAATAAGTGTTGTCATTTCATTAGACGTGTACCTCAAGAATTTGATCAAGTTCTTGGACTTGGATTGTCTGCCCTTCTATTTCGGTGCCCTCCTCGTGCCCTCCTGTTTGTGTGGTCACGGTTAAGCCACGTCAACATTTTATATTACTATTTTTTTTTGTTTTATTATTTTTATAAAAAAATAATATAAAATGTTGACGTGGCTTAACCGTGACCACATAAAACAGGAGGGCACAGAGAGGGCACCGAAATAGGAGGGCAGACAATCCAAGTCCCAAGTTCTTAAGGCTGAATAAGAATCACAACTGTTTTTAATGTTGCAATAAGTGGTATTCATCTTCATTTATAAGTGAGAGGTTTTAGATTCGAATTTTCTGAATGATGAGTTTGATATCAAATTAGATTACCCATTAAGTAGCTTAGCCGAACATTTATCTTCCCTTAGTATAAAATATATCGTTGTATAAAAAAAGAATCACAAGTGTTTTTTAATGTTGCAATTAATTAAGATGGCAAGAAAGATCATCTGCTTGTTTAGTAATGATGGGAGGTGAAGTCACGTACAAAAATAAAATACAAAATATAAACAAAACAGTGTACAGACTGCAGACGGCACAAACTCGCATGGGGAATATTGTAAAGGGTTTATGCATATTCTTCATCATGATTATGGCCCCAACGCCAGGTTGCGCCAACCATGATCACCTCTCATGCTCCAGATTCAACACCCTTCTCACTCACTCTCGAGTCTTAACCCTACGAATCTTCATTGAAATTTGCATTATTAATTGCTATTTCTTATTAACAAGCTGCCAATCACAACCCTACCCAGGATATTCCCAGCCTGGCTTGCTAGCTGTATGACCCAACTTTTCTTGTTTTCTATTATAATATGAATGAGTGCTAATTTAGTTTATGATCTATTACTTTAGTGAAAATTAGGTTATTGAATTATTTTTTCAGTAAAATAAGTTCCTAATTTCTTCCCTAATATAGCATTCAAAGCTATTTTATCAAATTTTTCGTCAACGTAAGTCACTTGACATACTTTAGAGTGTAATACCGTCATTTGATCGTCTATAAGCCCTTAACATTTCATATAGACTGTGAATCTAACATCTAATTTACCGTCTAAAGTTAACTCCATACACTATTTCTTTATGAAAAATTACCAATCTCGCCTAAAATGTGTATCATATACAAGTAACGTGACTTAAATTGACGAAAAATTAAATATAGTACCCTTGAATCTAATATTAGGGATGTAATTAGGGGTGGACAAATGGGTCTAGAACCCATAGGTTGGGGCGGTTCTTAAAATAGGAGTGAACAGGCTTCCGGCCTGACCCGTTTCTAGCATGTCCTAATCTGAGTCATTCATAATCATCTATCCATTTATTCAGTTTCCCTTTCCCTCAATCTCTCTTCCTGGCTCCTCTCCTCTCACTAAGACGTCGATATCTCTCATCCTGACTCGCTCCCACCGTCCTACTTCCTTCCGCTACCATCATCATCAGCTCCGTCCATCGCCATCATCATCAGCTCCGTCTGTCGCCATCATCATCAAATCTCGATCCATGGTCACTAAAATCCTCTCTCGTCTTTTTTTCCTGTCAATTTATAGTTAATTTCTTTGTTTTTTTGTTTTGTGTGGCTTTAATTTCTGAATGCATGCAAGAAATTGGGAATGGGAATGCAATTGTGGTCAATGATCTAGTGCTCCTTGATTTTGCTATGTCTCTCTCACTCACTTTCTCTAAATCAATCTCTCTTTCTGTAAAACTCGAAGGAATTTTGTTGGGTTCTTAAATCTTGACCTCTATTATGTTCCAATTTCAAATCTATTGTTGAATTAAATTGAATTTGAATATATATGCATGTTTTGTGATAGTTCCAATTTATTTATGTTTCTATTTATAGGGCTTGGTTGGGATTTGTCTTCAGCAATTGCAAGGGGCTTGGTTCATGGTCGGCGGAAAGGCTTTGGCGGCGACAGAGGATTTAGTCGATTAGGTTTCTGTGTGTGTGTGTGTTTTGGTTTTGGGCTCAACTCTTGGGTTGGGCTCTTCTTTTGTTGGTGTTTTGGAGGTTCTTAGTTGTTTTGTGGCTGTTGTAAATTTGGGCCTCCAGTTGTGCTTGTAAGTTTTGTGTTGGTAATAAAAGTTGAACCTTTTAACCAAAAAAAAAAAAAAAAAAACCTATTCTAATTAAAAAAAAATGTTATTAGACCTGTGAACCTAACCTGAATTGGCCCGTTTCAAACGGGTCGAGTTAGGTCTGGTTTATGATTCTGAAATTTCATTATCTAGCCCGCCCCAGCTCATTTCTTTTAAACCCGGGTCCGGTCCAGTACCTTCAAAATTGGACTCAGCCCGACCTGTGCCTGAAGGAAATTTTGTGAAAAACAAGTTCATTTGAGCAACATCTATAGCATGCAATTAACAAATTAAAGGCGGAATCATGCTTGCATGCACTCAAAACAAAACATTACCCATGAAATTCAAAGCCTAGTAGTTAGGTGAACCAAGACTCAACTCAAAAGAAAGTGAGTTGAGAAATTTATACCTTTGTAGATTCCTCTTTGCAAAAGCAAAGGATAATCACCCAAGAGATAGGGCCTTCATTCCTTGCTTCTTAGATCCATGGATTTGGATGGAAGAATAGGTTTATCCAAGTTCCCAAAATTGAGAACCTCTAAGTCTCCACACCAAGGTAAGATGTGAAGAAGAGATGAGTGACCTTGGAGGAGAAAAATTACTAGCTAATCCCTCCAAGGGTGGCCGGCCTCTTTAGAGAGAAAGGAGAGCTTTGTATTCTCTCCAATTTCCTCAAAAAACCCTAAATGAATTTTGGCTATAAAGTCATATTTATACCTTTATTCATTGGAGTGGCAAACTTGTAATTAAAGCAAGTTCACTACCATTCCTCTAAATGGCCGGCCTTAGGGTATTATTAGGCTATTAGGCATTTGTGAATAATTATTCATTAAGTTGTCATACAACTTAAGTCAATGGACTTGACGTTCAAAGCCCATTGGGCCTTAAGGTCCAATACTATCCCGAGGTCTTTAACGAACTTATTCGTTTGATTAATTAACATATTAATTAATCCTTGCCATAAATAATTAACCATTTAATTATTCTTACTCATCTCCGTTGTTTCTTCAATCTCTACCTTACACGGTGTACGATCCATTAGGTTCCTTTTAGCGAGGCAGTGGGCGATTAAAACTCTTTCAAATCGATTGTGAATTGAAACTTACTTTCAATTCTCCCTTTAGTGTTTATACACGTTTAGGGCTTCCACAAACCATGAGTGACACCTAGCAGTATGTCATGTTACCCAAGCTAATCAGAAGAGGTGGAGAACCTATTCAGTTTAGGATTACAATGCAATACGGTCTTTCTCTCTAATACAATACTCTTGACCACATTGTTTGGTTTGATAGTTTATTCATGTCTACTATCCAATGTGATTCATTTACTTATATGATTACCTTGAATGTGATTTGGAACGACTTCCTAAATCTCATTCATACTCTGGCCAGAGATTCTTAATCATATCATAGAGTATTCTCCCTCAAACGGTTTGAAGGTTAGAGATCCCTTGTTGCGCATTCACTTGCCTCCATGGCTAAGTGGCTTAACCCCAACTATGCCGTGGACACCCTCGAATGGAGTGACTTTGACATAATCAAAGATCAAGGACCTAACCACAAGACAACTATGATGCCTCAGGTCAAAGGACTACTTTGCATTATCCCAACCATGAGTTCTCTTGTGACATGAGTATGAGAACTCTTCGTTGATCGTGTTCAGTGAACTCATTCCTTATTGAGCACCTACGTACTTGCCTTGGTGTCAGTCACACCAATGACTCGAGACCAGTCACTCTCCATGAGAGAAGACACAGCACGTACTGATCTTAACGGACTGTCAATGCCCAATTGGCAATCTTATGATCAAGAACGTTTAAGATATGTATACGAAAGAGAATGGTCTCATAAATCTAACTTGTTTAAATTACATTCTCCTAATTACATATTCCTTGGACTTATCGTTTAAGCATATAACATTTATATGAGATGGCTTAAAACAATAATCTTTGCCCTTGATATTAAACTAGATTAGTTTAACATGTGAAATGTCCGTAAAGTATCATCACATTATTGGTTTTAGGGCACATTTCCAACAGTGCCCAGCCCTAGATGTAATTGGCAGATTTATATAATTCTTGGATTGATTTTTCTGATAAAATAGTTTAGGGACCTAATTTTCACTCAGGTGATAATTCAGGGATTAAATTGGCAGTTCACCCTTACAATATTGTTGTGGCATATACTTGTATTATTGTGAGATTCATAATGATGGTGCTATTCACACGCCCATTTTTGCCTTCTATACACATTTTTCAAATTTTGGCCGTTTGATTGAAGAATTGAAGAAGATTAAATGACATAAATTAATAAGTGATAGGAGCATATTTATGCAACTTAGTTAGCTTGTTCTTGTGCATTTACGTTGTGTTTTCTTAGTTAAGTTAGTCTTTTAAGCCACTTTCATGTGTTTTTAGGTTTTAAGGGCAAAGTATGCAAAGAAGTGTATTTTGGAGCCTTCTTGAGCAAAATTGAGCTTGGATTGGATATCACATGCTTGGAGCGAAAGGAATGGACGAAATTGATGATTTGAAGATGTGAGGAGTCCTAATTGAAGAAGGATTCCTAATCAATGAAGGAGTCCTAATTGAAGAAGGATTCCTAACCAACGAAGGATTCCTAATCAACGTAAGATTCCTAGTTGAAGATGGATTCCTAGAAGAATGAAGATTCCCACTCAAACAAGGATTCCTACTTGAAGTAGGAAAGTTAAGCCTAAGTTTCCTATTTTGGTTTGATCTTTCGTAAACCTAAAAGGCCTAAGTTCCCGCAACATTGAAGGTTTCCTAAAGCATCTGAGGACATGAAATGAAGGTTCTAGAACACTTAAAAATCTATGCCGCACCTAAACCCTTATAGAATCCGTTTCCTTGCCTTGCAAGGCTTTCTAGAAGCCATATCCATATCTGCCGCACCTCTTATACCTTTTCCCTTTTGGATTCTGATTGTTTGGGCCCTAATCCTTATTTTCTGCTAAGTCCAAGTCATAATCTGATTTCTCTAGGGTTTTATGTGCCTATATATACTCATGTTTCATTCTTTGCCGCAGCACCACCTTCCATATTCACAATTCACGCTAGAAACCATTATTCCCTCTCTGCCGCAGCCATCCCTCACCATTCTCCATAGTTCCTGACCTAAAACACCCATTGCCGCACCATACACCTATCCTAGCCTTAACCCCATCTTTCTACACCATTCATAACCCCCAAAATTTGACCTTAAACCTTGTGCCGCAACAAAGAGGAATGAGGGAAGTTCGTAGACGTGCTTGCTGTTCAATTTGGATCGCTGGAGTGTCTAGATGTTTTCGTTCTTTTGTTTTCAATGTCTAAATTTGTTTATCTTTGCTTTATGAGTATGAGGAACTAAACCTCTCTTAGCTAGGGGGAATTCGAAACCATGTTCATGCTTGCAATATGATTTGATTACTTTCAATTGTGATTCATAATTTGTGAATTCAATTTACTTATTCGTTTGAATTAAAACTTATTTGTGTGTGTTGGTTGAGAGTGCACGCTTAATTTTCATGCATAAATCTGATGCTAGGATATAAGGGAGTTTCACCTAATCGTTATGAACTTATATTCACAAGTAGTGAAGGTTGTTAGTCACAATCGCGTTAAGTAAATTCTTGGCATAAGTTTCATGCAATTCATAGTTACAAGTGCTTCGTCAATGCTTATGATTTTCATAGAACTTAATGATTCTTGCTTGTATCTCTATTATATAATTCATGTAGGGAACTTGTGGGGAATGCTTTGGGTTGTTGTATGCAATCATCCAATTCAATGAAATTAGGAAAATCTGAGGGTTAATTAGTGCAATTCACGATTAATCTGGGGCGTTAAGAATTCATGGTTTATTGAAAAGTAACTGTAAATCGTTTTGTTTGCAAGTGTGTCATGTGTGGAGAAGAACCTCCTAGCTAGCCTATCATTTGTAGTTTTACCCAAATTTGTGCAGATTTCATTAGTTTTGTAATTTACTTGTTTTGTTTTCAAATTCGTCAAAACCAAACCCCCCCCTTTACTTTAGAGTGTCTAACTAGTTAGAATATGTTTTAGATTGTGTTTTTAAGTGTTTTGAGTCAAGGAAAAACCAAAATTCGTCCAAAATTGTGTTTGGAGTAAAAAACTGCCCAGATTGTGTTTTTAGGCAGTTTTGAGTGTTTTTAGCTTATTTTGAGTCTTGTGAACTTGTTTTGAGTCTTTTGAGTCTAGTTAAGTGTTTAAAGCATAGTTTTATCTATTTGAGTTAGTTTAGAGTGTTTAGCAATCCCTCATAATCCCCGGTTTAAGAACGATCTCTACTTATATATATATACTACAATTGTCAAAAGAGGGTTTAATTTGTGTGCTTATATAATTTTCGCATCAATAAGGGGTGTATGGGAAGTAAAAATGAGTATATGAACAACACCATCCATTCACTAACATCAACGGCTAATAGGTGTGGATGCAAATTTCTTCCTCCTTGACCTTGGACAAAGTTTCACCTACAAAACAACTAACACCTTTGATTAAGGCCAAAAGCCTCACGCGCTCACGATGAATGGGGGGGCTTTGGCTGAAGAACCTCCGATGCCAAAGTTAGAATTTAGAAAGAAAAGTGTTTAGAGAGTTTTTGGGAGTTTTGCAAGAGTGTTGGAACTAGGTTTTTAGAGAAAATGGGGTTCAATATATAGAGCATGGCCGGTCCCCCTTTTGAGAAAATGTGGCCGGCCCTTTGGGGTATTTTTGTGTGAAATGGGCGATTTAATTGGTAATTAATGGATTAATTAGGAATAAATCCATTAATTCGCCAATTAACTCAATTTATATGGAATGTTTTGAAGGTTATGAAATAATTAACTTGTGGAAAATATAGGATGAGGATGGATGAAATAACTTTGAATTTGTTACTTATTTTGGTGGGCATCTTTGACTTGATTGAGGTATGATTGTCCATTGTTCGCGCATAGGAATCCCGATGTGTCTCGAGGGTAATTTGTCA